TGGTCTTCAGTAACCCAAGCTTGTCGTAAGAGGCGACTAACGTTGACACACGTCATCTCATCCCTATCACGTAGATCGATGCTCATGCTGTTGATTACTGGATTACTGGTCCACAGTCGATTATTTACAGTTCCCCGCAATATAACGGGAATATTGCTGAGTGCGGCGTAATACAACAAACCGACCAACGGCATTCAAATGATAACATTACACTTGATGAAGAGTTAATGTGTTTGATACACCGAAAAGGGACCTTGACATTTGTATACACTCAATATATATTACCTGGTACAATCAGGGAGAACAAAGTGCAGCATTATCATTCAGCTGCCTGCACTGATTACGTCGGTGATGTAGGCACTCATCTTGCTGTTCATGTTACGATTGATTATGTTATATTGTTATAAGGTTAAATATGCATCTTCTTAACAAGGAAAGTATACCGAGAATAAAAGGTTAAGCGCCAGCCTATTTCAAAATTAAGATGTGAAGCTGTGGAAATTTTAGTTTTTTTCTGAAAGATTTCCTATGAGACAACCCATATTGGCAAAGTATACTGGGTGGCACTTAACGTTTTATTCACAGGTATATTACAAACCCATTACTGAAAGAATTGCGGTTATTTCGTGATGGGATGGGTACTATCTCTGATTGGTAATTAATCATGAGATACAGCACATAATAACTGGAAGTAAGAGAACCCAAAAGACCCAAGAATTAGTTAACAGTGAATCACCGATGGGTAGTCTCCAGTAATTCTCCGATCCCGAGGTTCGACATGAGGCCATGGCATGATGTAACTTTAAACGAATGGAACATACTGTATCGGGACATATATGTGACAAGGGCGGAACCATCCGGGATTCGAACCCACACCCTCAGAGTCACCTAATTGCCAGCAAACAAAGTCAACCGTCTAAGCCACTCAGCTACCACGGGTTCCGCAAAAAAATGGAAGTTACAAAAGTACACCAATTACTAGTATATGTTTCCTATCTGGATCTACATGTGTCAGTACCCGTGAAGGTCCCGGGTTAGAATTGGTCTTCAGTAACCCATGCTTGTCGTAAAAGGCGACTATGCTTGTCGTAAGAGGCGACTAACGGGATCGGGTGGTCAGGCTCGCTGACTTGGTTGACACATGTCATCGGATCCCAATTGCGCAGATCGATGCTCATGCTGTTGATCACTGGATTGTCTGGTCCAGACTCGACTATTTACAGACCACCGCCATATAGGTGGAATATTGCTGAGTGCGGCGTAAAACTAAACTCACTCACTCACTTACATGTGTCAGTAAATTGGTTGGAAAAAGAGACAGGTATGTTAATTTTCTTTCGATTTTATGACCACTTCATTCAATTTTGGCACACGTTCGATTACACGGTTTAACAGTCACTATGACGACTGCGACTCACTGAGGTGCTTCCATTCCCGAATTTCGGTGTGGGAGGTTTTGATTAATCTTTTGTTGCAGAAGAAGAAGAGTGTATATCTAACAAAGACCTGAATCACAAATGAAACAAACAACGATCGGCGTTGTCAACAGAATTTACGTTATATGTCGACTGCACTTTTAAATATTGCTTACGAAAAGATCAATAACTACCCATAGAACATGCTTCATCTTCAATGTCGTCGACATCAACCTGTACGGAACAACAGTAATGACGACATTCATATTTCGGGTAAAACGTCTCTTATAAACAGGTATAAAAATATAAGGCTGTTTCACATGAATATGTAAATTTGTAAATTGGACCATTTGAATTCGAATTGTTCCTACAAATTAACAGGTCGATGTCTAACTGGAATGTGTTTTTTTGACAGAATCTTCTGAGGCAATATTGAGGCACCCGATACATTTCAGTGTTCATACTTGGACAATCGGCAACAGATCCGCGATTAGCCGTGCAGAGTTGCACCCCTTGACGAACACAAGAACCCTGTGATCATGGGTCTTAAACCCTAGTTCCTCACGATCACGTTTCTGAGTTTGTACGCCTTATACCTGCACCGGTGGGCTTCAGCACATTACACTTTTCTCCCACATTCTACCAACAAGTCGCGATAGCAGGAATACTGCTCAGCACATTACACTTTTCTCCCACATTCTACCAACAAGTCGTGATAGCAGGAATACTGCTCAGTACGGCGTTACATCCAACACATCGTAACACCCACTCACCCAATTACATCAAAACTTTCATTCAAACCAATTACACCTATGTCATGGTTTCCTTTTATTCTTGGTTTTAATTATTCAAAACTGTACTGTTGATAGTTATATCGTGTTTCTTACACAGCTTTTAGCAATGTTCCCGTAATATCACAGCGGAGTACACAGAAAGGGGTGCACCTTCTATACGGGTCATTATAATGACGGGGCGCGATGCACTTTACGCACAAAAGGGCAAAAAATATCTTTACTTGACCTAATTATGAGGAGGCGTGCTGCACATTACACAAATATAGACAGAAAATATCTTTACTGGACCTAATAATGAGGCGGCGTGCTGCACATTACGCAAAAATAGACAGAAAATATCTCTACTGGACTTAATTATGAGGCGGCGTGCTGTGCATTACGCAAAAATAGACACAAAATATCTTTACTGGACCTAATTATGAGGAGGCGTGCTGCACACTGGGCATAAATAGACAAAACATATCTTTACTGTACCTCATAAAGAAGAGGCGTTCTGAACTTTACGCAGAAAAGCGCAGAAAATGTCTCTGCTGGGCCTCATAAAGAAGAGATGTGCCTGCACAATAACACATAAAGAGGGGGAAAATGTCTCTACTGGACCTCATAAAGAAGATGCGTGATGCACGTTACGCATAAATGGACGAAAAGTGTCTCCTGTGGATTTCATAAAGAAGAGGCTGAAGGAACGACTAGAGATTTCGAGACTGAGCTTTAGTCCCAGGAAATAGACTATTCAGGGACATTTCTCAACCAAAACATACCTCAGATGATAACATTTAAAGAGCAAACAGTTCTCAATCATTCTTGACCTGACTTGAACTCCATTTTCCTCATCTTCTTTCGGAACCTACAGAGAAGCTATATCATTGCCCTGCTCTTTGTTAAAGGAACTGAAGTGCATTGGGTGAATCATATATTAGTTGTGTGAACATGGATGTACATGTACATGCAATAATTCTTTGTATAATGGAGCTACCATGAAATTGGTTAAACGCCGCGAATGGAGGCATCTCTGTACCAGTAACTAGTAATTCGCTGAGAGTGTCGTTCATTGTACAGCCAGAAAACACGACACATTTCTATAGAACTACTTTATACAATAAGCCAACGATAGGCCGTTGATAAGCCAGACTTCTTGTCTCGAAGTAGGGATAAGTCTTCATGACATGGCGTTACTCGTAGTGTTTAGTTTTAAATGTTTGGTTATCTGTCTCCAGTAGCCAGAGGGATGGTGTACATCCAGGTTGGCTATCATTCAGGAAGTACCCTTAACCCCGATGATTACTAAGGTGGTGTTTTAAATGTGGCTGATACTGATCTATATCCTTCTATCGTACCCTTATCTATCTATCTATCTATCTATCTATCTATCTATCTATCCATCCATCCATCCATCCATCCATCCATCCATCCATCCATCCATCTATCTATCTAGAGAGATAGATATATAGATATACACACACATGCACACACACATAGATTTCAGCTTATACTGACTGACTGAGTTTGGTTTTACGCCGCTTTTAGCAATATTCCAGCAACATCACGGCGGGGGACACCAGAAATGGGCTTCACACATTGTACCCATGTGGGAATTCGAACCCGGGCCTTCGGCGTGACGAGCCAACGCTTTAACCACTAGGCTACCCACCGCCCCTTCAGCATATACACTAATCTTGTGTTACAATTGCTAGTTACTGCTATGTAATCTAGTATTAAATGTGCATATTTGTGATAGTCTATTTCTGCCACTGCTCTTTGACAACGTGTTCATTAGCCTTTGCATTATTATTGTCGAACGGACTTCACACATTGTACCCATGTGAGGTTTTGAACGCGGGTTTTCAGCGTGGAGAGCGAACGCTCTAATAGCTGGGCTACCCCACCGCCCCTTTATCAGGACGAGCAACAACCAAGCGTTATATGCAGTGTCGAAATAGTATCACACCCACATGACACAGCGATATACTGCAAGTAGGTCACTACATTGCCGTGTATTGTTCAACCGTTCATGAATCACAACCTTCAGTCGTGTATAAGTAGGGAGGATACACTGGTTCTGAAAGGATTGAAAATTGAAGTATGATTAGTCAGTTTTCTTGTTCTCAACTCATGTACCCCACTTTATCCGTGTACAGCCCCCCCTGGATTCGCCCCTGCCCATTGCTCATTTACATATCCTCTTACTTACTCTCTCTCTCTCTCTCTCTCTCTCTCTCTCTCTCTCTCTCTCTCTCTCTCTCTCTCTCTCTCTCTATGTTCAGGCTGAGTGTAGATGTAAAATAGACCACGACACACACACAGAGACAGATATATATATATACATATATATATTTAGAGAGAGAGAGAGAAAGATCTTGTATATTTAGCATATTTAAAGAGAGAGAGAGAGAGAGAGAGAGAGAGTTAATCTACACGCACAGCCCTTCTACTTCACTACACTATTACGTCACTATGATCTCTTCAACACATATCTTCATCTTGTAAGAATCTAAACACCTAAGCACCAGTTTGGTGTTTAGCTAACATGTCAACTGTACACTCTCTGCTACCAATGAATGCCTTTAGCTGCATTTACTGAAGTGTGCTCTCCTCGTCAAGATAAACTACCGTCACATGAACAGACACACTATATACTTCCTGCTTTGAAATTGCGACGTAATTTATTTCGCCGTACACCAGTGTGTTTATGATCAGAAATATACATTTTTTTCAGTCTGTTAAATGTGATAATATTAAATCTAGGGAAAAAAAACTAATTGAGGTCAGTTTAATTAAAACGAGTAGCATACAACTTACAAATTCTTCTTATACGCATGCGCTGTTTTCCCCGGTCTATTTATATTACAAACCTCTGTCAGGACCAAGAAGTGGCCTTATCAAGGTGAGCATTGATATACCTAAAATTGACATGACAGTCGGTGTAACAGTAGTTTTTGTTTCAGAAAGCTGATTTTATTACCTTCTATACCAGATGAAAAGTGCTCACAGTGCTGTCATGTCGAGTGAATGACAGATTCACGTAAATATAACGTTTGATAACAAGGAAATAGAACAGTCCATATCTGTGTTATTTACGTTATGTACAAAGGCAATACAAACACGACACAGCCTGACATTTGACGCTTGTCTATCACAGACTATGACTGGTGACGGAGTATTAGTATATATAGTTTCGGTGTCTAAGGGACCGAAATTTCATTGATATTTTGTTTACATAATTGTGCATAAGCTATTTATTGTATTTCCTCCTTGGGTCAGTGATCTGGGTTGCTTGCTGTTTTCAGCATTTTATTTCAGCAATGTCGTATTACATTCTAACATATGAGCGAGTGAGTGAGTTTAGTTTTACGCCGCACTCAGCATTATTCCAGCTATATGGCGGCCGTTTGTAAATAATCGAGTCTGGACCAGACAATCCAGTGATCAACAGCATGAGCATCGATCTGCGCAATTGGGAACCGATGACATGTGTCAACCAAGCCAACGAGCTTGACCACCCGATGCCGTTAGTCGCCTCTTACGACAAGCATGGGTTACTGAAGGTTCATTCCAACTCGGACCTTCACGGGTTTCTAACATACGACCCACAGAAAGAAAACCCCAACGTTTACAGCAAGTTGTTTACAGCACGTGTCAACGAAGTCTTTGTGTCCGTAACGGGCTACCATGATGCGTACAGCATTGTTGTGCTTCTGTAACATTTGTTTATCGTACGCATTCATTTACATCAAAAACCTTAATTGCAATGCACGAATAGGCTTGAACTGTGATATTATACAATTATAGACTCTTGTAGAGGTCGATGTCGGTTTTTCTCAGGTCAATAAAAACCGATATCGACCTCTACAAGAGTCTATAATTGTTTTATTATATAATGAAAGAGAAACGGGTTTTAACATAAACTTTTAATGCAAACACTGTGCCATCTATCCGAGTGATCTGATTGGCTGAGAAGCGGGGGAAGCCCCTTCGTACGGGATTCCTTGTCTATTTTTAGTAACCCAAGTCAATATCGTAATTTATCAGAAAACTCAAGTCAATATCGTGTTTTGTAGTCAATCATGTGACGGTCTTTTGACCAATCTTGGTACAGGAAAAATACTACCTATATAATAAAGTCCTGTTTTCTATACTTTGTATGATCTGTAGTCTATCATACAGACCCTGAAACAAATTTATCCAATGAAGCCCATGCAAGTATAGAATATGTAGCAAGGGTAGATTTCCTAAGAAAGTCACTGGGCTCCTTTTCATTATATTTTATTAATATATTTTAGGAACTTTTGTTTTTCTGTACAATATGTTCATTTCGACGACGCGATGTTAGTCTATATGATCGGTTGAATTTTCTGTTTCACCATGAGGTTTGCATTTTAGAATGGGGTTTCTGTTAACGATGAGGTTCATATTCTACCACGGGATTTCTGTTTTACAGGGTGTTTTTGTTTTACTATCATGTTTATGTTTTACCACGGGCAGTTTGTTTTACTATGAGGTTTAGGCCTTACCATGGGGTTTGTATTTTGCTAGGGGTTTATGTTTTACCATGGATTTCTGTATAACGATCTTATTTTATGTTATGCTATGAGGTTTGTGTGTTCCCATGAGGTTTGTGTTTTACTATGAGGTTTAGGCCTTACCATGGGGTTTGTATTTTGCTAGGGGTTTATGTTTTACCATGGATTTCTGTATAACGATCTTATTTTATGTTATGCTATGAGGTTTGTGTGTTTCCATGAGGTTTGTGTTTTACTATGAGGTTTGTGTGTTTCCGTGAGGTTTGTGTGTTTCCATGAGGTTTGTGTGTTTCCATGAGGTTTGTGTGTTTCCATGAGGTTTGTGTGTTTCCATGAGGTTTGTGTGTTTCCGTGAGGTTTGTGTGTTTCCATGAGGTTTGTGTGTTTCCATGAGCTTTGTGTGTTTCCATGAGGTTTGTGTGTTTCCATGAGGTTTGTGTTTTACTATGAGGTTTGTGTGTTTCCATGAGGTTTGTGTGTTTCCATGAGGTTTGTGTGTTTCCGTGAGGTTTGTGTTTTACTATGAGGTTTGTGTGTTTCCGTGAGGTTTGTGTGTTTCCATGAGGTTTGTGTGTTTCCATGAGGTTTGTGTGTGTTCCATGAGGTTTGTGTGTTTCCGTGAGGGTTTGTGTGTTTCCATGAGGTTTGTGTGTTTCCATGAGGTTTGTGTGTTTCCATGAGGGTTTGTGTGTTTCCATGAGGTTTGTGTGTTTCCATGAGGTTTGTGTGTGTTTCCATGAGGTTTGTGTGTTTCCATGAGGTTTGTTCCATGGGGCTTCCTTGTGTGTTTCCATGAGGTTTGTGTGTTTCCATGAGGTTTGTGTGTTTCCATGAGGTTTGTGTGTTTCCATGAGGTTTGTGTGTTTCCATGAGCTTTGTGTGTTTCCATGAGGTTTGTGTGTTTCCATGAGGTTTGTGTGTTTCCATGAGGTTTGTGTGTTTCCATGAGGTTTGTGTGTTTCCATGAGGTTTGTGTGTTTCCATGAGGTTTGTGTGTTTCCATGAGCTTTGTGTGTTTCCATGAGGTTTGTGTGTTTCCATGAGGTTTGTGTGTTTCCATGAGGTTTGTGTGTTTCCATGAGGTTTGTGTTTTACTATGAGATTTTGCTTTTACCGTATAGTTCTTTGTATAACTTCAAGGTTTGTCTTTCACCATGTAGTTTCTGTATTACTATGAGGTTTTGTTTTACTATGTTTTTATTGGTGTTTTACAACGCCGTTTCGGGTTCGACAGTAGGATGTTATCGAACGTTTGATGCCTTTCAGTTTGATAATTTAAAATACTATGACGACAATTCAGTTTCAAAATCGGTAAATTATTCATCCCGTTGTTGTTGTGTTGGTGTAATTTTGTTCCGATAATCTATTTCGCATAATCATATTAGGACTTTAATTGGGTCTAGCCCTTTTTTCCACTTCAGGTTTTAATCAAATTCTGAAAAAGTCCGAAGTCTATCGAGATAAAGGATTGTGGGGAGGAACCATATTTCACTCACTGCAATGCCATTGCAGGGCCTCTTGTTTGTATAAATCTGAGGATGCGGGGAAGTATTTCATATGACTCCATTTCTACCAATATATGCTATTCATAAGATAAACTGACAAAAGAAACACAATCCGTAATCACATTGGCAACTGAATAATGTTGATAACATTCTTAAAGGTGTGCATTGGTGTAAATAAGGAAAATGTATCTTTCCTCTAATCGAAACGCCTTTCACCCATATAGACATGTATGAACAGCACACACGGGAATTACCGACTTTGTTACCAATAGGAATTTCACATAAAATTATGACAGGGAAATAATTCTGAATGCCAGACCTCACTCACGTGATATCGTTACAAGATAACACGTCACTATTTATATACCATTCAAACCAACTCGCTTTGTAAACAGATATAGCTATTTCGAAGCCGTTCAGTAACACACGTAGCTTCTTCTCTTATGTTAAATATATCCTTGAGGATCTGGGAGGCAATAGGTCACTAGAAACCTGTTCAGGTTGTGAGAGGCGGCTCGTTGGAGCGGCTTGCGATTGTTTAGCAAAAAGCCAACATACATATATCGCTATGCCTGCATGTGCAGTTATACCATGGCAAACATTTATTTATCAGTAAAACAGTGGAGATTTGTTTAATGTAACCTGGCACGGCAAGGTGTTTTGTTTATATTTGACGTTCCTATCGTTGAATGAATACAATAGTATTTGTACTGCAAACATACACATGAGAAAATAATTTAGTCAAACTGGGAAAAAACTGGCCAATATGATCTGTAACGGCTGTTATTGCACGTGTGTGAGTAAGTGAGTTTAGTTTTACACCGCACCTAGCTACATCCCAGCTATATGGCGACGGTCTCTAAACGATCGAGTCTAGACCAGACAATCCTGTCAGCAACAGCATGAGTTTAAGTCTACGAAATTGGGTTACGATGACGTGTCAACCAATCTTCACGGGTCGTTATTGCACGTTCAGGCGTGGGCTTATGTCCCTTGCTTAATACTGCCGCGATATGTTTTCATAAGTGTTTTCTGTTATCGTGAGGGAGTGAGTGAGATGAGTTTTATGGCAACTTCGAAAGAGATGTCTGCAATGACCTGGACAATGCGACAGCCAAGTGATTCATCGTTTGCTCGACACACTTCAGACCCGGCCGCGGGTTCCATTGCCCACATGGGTACATTCCCTTAAGCCCATTTCTGCCGTGATATTGCTGGAATTTTGCTAAAACTAAACTCATTCACTCACTCACTAATGACAGAGACAAGCCCGATATGATGCAGATCTCAAACGTTCAGTACGTTTGTGTAACCCCTGAGTAGTCTGGTTTTACCTTGTATTGTCATCTATAGTTAAACTGTTTTAGATTTAATTACTAGTTTTAAAGTCGAATCTGTGATAATCTAGTTATTTTACTGTCCTTCGTTGACAGTTTTTTTACAATTTACTATTACTTACTATGTATACAATTCATTGTTCTCGTCACGATATGACTGAAATACTGCCGATGTGACGATAAATTTCAACTCACTCACTCACTCACTGAAACCCCTGAGCACGGGTTTGGTGATGACAAATGCAGGAATATTATGGGGACGAACCGGGAAAAGTCACGGGCTCCTGGCGTGCATAAGGAACGCTACCCTGTTCAGCGAATTCGATGCCACAGGCATTTGGGCCAACCGTGTTCTCGTTTCAGTCATTACAGTACTTCTCGTTAATGTTGTATGTAGTACGATTTAAATTTACGAGACTATCTGGCAGTTTATCTCCGATAAACCATTAACTGAGTGAGTGAGCATAGTTTTACGCCACTTTTAGCAATATTCAAGCAATATCGCGGCAGGGGACACCAGAA